CCCTCCCTCTCTCTCTCTCCCTCTTTCTTTCTTTCTTCTTTCAAGATTTTACTTATTTATTTGAGAGAGAGAGCATGAGAGGTGGAAGGGTCCAAGGGAGAAGCAGACTCCCCGCTGAGCAGGGAGCCCGATGAGGGGCTCAATCCCGGGACTCTGGGATCATGACCTGAGCTGAAGGCAGCTGCTTAACCACTGAGCCACCCAGGTCCCCCCATCCCTGGCACGTTTCTACACTGAATGTGGAAGACTGTTTTGTGTGGAGGAGTGGACGGGCTGTCGGTGAAATCTATATGAATATTTTTGAAATTCCAGCCCCCACTACGTGTCAGCTTTGGAGATAGACTTCAGTGAGACAGCGTTCTGTAGTAGAGAGTGCACGGACTTCAGAACCTGTGGCCCCAACCCTGGGTAGCGCACCTGACTGCCCCGAACCCCCATTTTCTCACTGGCGAATGGGCACATGCCTGCCTTATAGGACAGCACCTCGCTTGCATTCTGAGAGTCTAATAGGTGAAGCACTTCTCCACCAGATGACCTAGCACTTGGTCCTATCTACATCATCATCGATGATCAGCAGCAGCTTTATGGTGTTATACTGAAAAGAACTTCTCTCCATGAAGTTGGACCATGGAGCTCAAACACCTCTTTCCTAGGAGGAATACTGTGGGGAAAGTTCGGTCAGTTTGAAATTGGTTCAAGGCCCAGCTCAAGCAGTAGGCTACTGAGGCCTTGTGAGCATTGATTGAGGGGAGAGCTGTGAAAATACCTTGTAAATCCAGAGAGCTTGACTAGACTCTTAGGCAGAATGGTAAAATGCTATTATGCCATGTCAACTAAAATTTCATAAATTGGATTCCCATGCGTAGTCCTTTGCAGGATCCAGGAAGGCTCCCTGTTTGAGGAGGTTCACTTTGCCTCTTTGTCTGGTTTTTGGTCTCCAAGGCCGTATGACCCCCTCTCACTGGCTGCCAGTGGTGATGGGCCAGTTCTGGCCTCATCCCTGCACCAGCAGTGGGATATTAACCTGTCTGTTGAGCGCCTGAGCCCACATCTGCCAAGGAGACCCAGCTGGAGCTGATCTGCTGGGCTGAGTCACAGCATCTGGCTGGGACAAGTTGGGACAATCTCTTTTTAATCACAAGTATCCCCCTGGGACCTACTCAGTGCTCACCACCTTGCAAAGTTCCGAGGTATGGGTGGAGGTCAGGTACAGTTGGTCCCTTCTCCTGAGGAGGTTCTTTTTCCAGAGAGGAGGTTAGCATAATGCATTCAGTAACACTGCGAGTTCTTCAGGACTGCCTATCGTTTAGGGCTACTTTGTTTGGCAACGTGATAATTACTACAAAACCCAAAGTAGGGAGAGTTCAGGGATGGTTAGCAGAGTAGTTAGCAGAGAAGGTTTATTACTGGTTATTCGCGGGATGTTCACGAAAACATTCATTACTGCTGCCCAGGAGAAAGAAAATGGTGTCAGCTGAGTAGCCCAACCTGGCGGCTTCCATGGGAAAGCAGGGCAGTCAAAGAGAGCCTTGCCTCAGGGTAGAACAGGATTCCAGAGGTTTAGCAGGGTCAGCACAGCTGGCCGGAGTTGACATTGCTGCTCAGGGGACAGAATTGTGGCTGGGAAATACAGGGATTGTGAGTTCAGCTCTTGAGTTTGTATTTTAATTTGTTTTGGGGACCTGCTGAGGGAGTTGGACCTTGACTTCAGGTTATCTTATAGTCTAGAAACCTGGATCTTAACCTTAGCCTTGCAGGTATTCTGCTCCTTGCTCTGCAGGGTGTAGTCTGTGGACCAGCAGCATTATCTGGGAGCTGGTTTGAAATGCAGACCCCCAGGTCCACCTGGACTTGCGAGTCACCATCTGTGTCTTAAGGTGATTCACATGGACATCAAAGTGTGAGAAGCACTGGCCTAAATGGCAAGCTCAGGAAAGGCATGGCTTTTCTGTTGTCGTCTTTATTATTTCGTCTCCCCAATACCTATTTCAGGTTTAACGCATGGCGGCTGCAATAGCCATGAGTCTTCCTCTGACTTGGGCATATCTTGATCTCTAGGGACATTGTAAGCTTCTAGGGAACTAATTGTAAAGTGGGGTGTGCAGGGGTGGGGGAGGTGAGTGGGGTTGGGGTCGACCTTTAGTGGTTGAAAAACTGAAGTGAGCATTAGAAGCACAGGTGGTGGGGGTGGTTTTGAACAACTCAAAGCCTCTGAAGGTGGGTCACAGGATTTGTATTTTTTTAAAAAATTTACCATTATGTTCAAGAATGTTTATTATATTATCACATATAATAATAAGATATTTAAATATCTCTCAAGAAGAAATAGATAAAGGGACACCTGGGTGGCTCAGTCAGTTGTCTGCCTTCTGCTCAGGTCATGATCCCAGTGTCCTGGGCTTGAGTCCCACATTGGGCTCCATGCTCAGCTGGGAACCTGCTTCTCCCTCTGCTTGTGCTGTCTCTCTTTCTCTGTCAAATAAATAAATAAAATCTTTAAAAAAAGGAAGAAATAGATAAATACAGTGGGATACAAATCAGAAGTTCAAATAAATGAAATAGAGCTGCATGTATAAACATGAATAAATCTAAACAAAGTTCTTGGAGAGAATAAATTTGCAGAAGGATATGTGAGGGATGGTACTATTTATTTAAAGTTTAAAATGTTCATATGTATGTAATGGAAATATGCATATGTAGTAAGAATGTAAAGAGGAATGGGGATGATAACCAAGTTCAGCGTATTGTTTAACTTTGGGAGGGAGGAAGGGAAATGGGTGGGAGCTTTAATAGTCCCTTCATGTTTTCTTTCTTTCTTTTTTAAAAAGATTTTATTTATTTATTTGAGAGAGCGTGAGAGAGCGAGAGAGAGAGAGAGTGAGAGAGAGAGAGAGCACGAGAGTGGGGTGAGGGATAGAGGGAGAAGCAGATTCCCCACTGAGCAGGAAGCCCGATGTGGGACTCAGTCCCAGGACTCCAGGATCATGACCTGAGCCGAAGGCAGACACTTAACTGACTAGGCCACCCAGGCGCCCCATGTTTTATTTCTTAAAAAAGGAAGAGTAAAGAAAAAAACATTGCAGCAGCAAACATGGAAAAACAAGATTTTCCCCAAAGGAATGAATACATAATTATTCATGATACTGTTTGCTACAATTGTTCCGGATGTTTTAAATATTTCATTATAAAATGATTAAAACAAAAGTCTCCTGGTGATTGTGATGCAGGCAGTTGACCTTTGGGAATTCTTGCCGTTGATGCTTCTAGGGGCTTTTCAGTTCTAAGTGTGTTTGTGTGCCGAGAACTCTCCCCCAAGCACCTCTCTTATTCTTGTAGATGGCGGATGCCTATCAGGCTGTGCCCAAGGCCTGTAGCTTCCTTGTGTTCTGTCCTGATGAGATGCAGCCACTTCTCATGTTGGTGACGTTGGCAAAACCCACCAATCTAACTCTACTTTGAGGACCTAGCCTACAAGGGTCTCTTCCCTGTTGTCTCCTTCTCTCCTTTATTAAAGGAGAAGTTCTGTCCTACAACTGCCATAATCTTAGAGCTCTAACCTCCTGCCTCCCCATCCCCAAGGTGCATTTATTTTCAGAACACCTTCATTGACATTTCAGTGGAAGGACTTAGTACCCGTGTGGATCCCAAGAGTTTTCTTTGCCTACCCCAAGAATCACCATTTGAAATCAGTTCTCTTGTTGCTGTATCTGCTTTTGTAACTTCTTTCTATACCAGAAGTGTCCCTAAAATTTAATCACTAAGGATGACACCTATTAGTCTGTGACTCAGGGAGGTTAAGAAGGACGAAATGGCTCTAGCAGCTGGTGCCAAAATGGACTTTCAAATTTAACTTAATTTTGTTGTTATTATTTTTTAATGTAGTCTGTAGTGGTAGTTCTAAACTAAGGATGATTCCCTCCTCCCTCCCCCCAACCCAGGGGACATTTGGCAGTGTCTAGAGACATTTCCGGTTTCCAAACTGGGGGAGTGCTGCTAGCATTGGGTAGGTGCTAAACATCCTATAATGCACAGAAAAACCCTACCCTCCCCCCGCATAGCAAAGAATTAGCCGGTCCAAAATGTCAATAGTGCCGAGATTGAAAAACCTGGTTCTACGCATCCTCATAACATGACTCTCCCCCTGTCAGTGAGGGACAGTGATTAGGCTGTACTTCTGTTAGTGTGGGACCGTGAAACAAGGGATACAGGAGTCCCTGTGAATATGTGTATAGACCATTCCTGTATCATCTTCACTGCATGGTGTGGGCTAAGGAGTCAATGGTATTGGAGATGGAGGATGAGAAGAGATTAAGGAAAAACTGGAGAGGAACAGAGTCCAGATGGTGGGGAGAGCAGAGAGAAGCTGCCTCTGATGCCTTTGAACTTGGCACCTTGCTATTAATAGTACCCTCATGCTATAGAAATACAGGATAGGGTATTTAAAAATATTCCCAATGAAAAACGTGGTAGGTAGTTACAGTGATGGCCTCTGGTGAGTTGTGCTGTCCTCCGCCCACACTTGTCTGCGTTGTGATTTTGCCATTCCTCTCGTCAAGAGGTGGAGTCTCTTTTTCCACCCCATGCGTCTGGGCTAGCCTTGTCACTTGCCTTGACCAAAAGAGTGTTGATGGGTGACTTTTGGGGCCATTCAGCTTTGTTTTCCTCCCTGTTAGAGCCTTTCTGCCATCATGTGAGCAATCTCAGCCTGACAGTCAGGCATTCGGCTGGCCCGGCCCCACATAGCTCCCAGCCAACCTCCCAGCTCAGTGAGCTCACGTGAATTGAGCTTGTGTGCCCAGCCAGTCCACAGAGGAGTGTGGAATAATAAATTGTAGTTATTAGAAGCCACTAAACTTTGGGGTAGTTTGCTACACAGCAATAGATAACTGGACATTGTATGTAAGTGACTTCATCTGAAGCAGTAGACGATGTATTTGCCTTAGGATGTTGTGTAACTCTCAGATCATGGTTAAGAGTTCTTCCTCCTTTGTTTCTCGTAGCACTTCTCGGAACTCCTGGATGAGTTTTCCCAGAACGTGTTGGGTCAGCTCCTGAATGACCCTTTCCTCTCGGAGAAGAGCGTGTCGATGGAGGTGGAGCCATCCCCGACGTCCCCGGCGCCTCTCATCCAGGCCGAGCACAGCTACTCCCTGTGTGAGGAGCCTCGGGCCCAGTCACCATTCACCCACGTTACCACCGGTGACAGCATCAATGACGGTAAACCCAGAGCAGGGGCAGCACCTGGGACCACAGCACCTTTGCCTCTGAGCTCCTCGGGGGCGTGCAGTGTGTGTTACGCTTTTGTTGGCACCCACTTTAGCCACATACCTGCTCCGTGTAAAGCCTAGGGCTTGGGCTGTGGGGAAGTACAAAGGGGCGTGGGGCGCATTTCTTTACCCCTGGCTGAGTCCTCTGGGAACTTGCTGTCTCTGAATGGTAGTCGTTGCTTTCTTTGACCCTGTGGATTGGGCAGCAGAGCATCCTTTTGCAAATCAGGTTGGCCTATCTGGTTGATAATTCCAGGAAGTCCATTGTTTTAAGAGGTCATGTCATTTTTTTCTGAGGAAGAATTTTTCTGACCACTCTTCTCCACAGAAGCTTCTTGGGCATCCTCTTAACCCATATTCACTGTGTTCCCTTGACCACATGTATATGAGATCTTGGTGAGCATTCCTAGTATTCTTGGTGACCCTTTCTTACCCATCATCAATGCCGTCAGGAAGGTATTTGTTGAAGACCTAGTTTTCTTGGCTTTAGAGTATTAAGCTGTTTGGCCATTTGTCTGTAGAGTGACTGTCTTCCATGTCTGAGCTCCTTTATCACATATTATCAGTGCCTTAAAGTATAGCCATTCATTCACCTTGTGGTTCTTGAGTTCACAGGCGAGACATTGAAGGAAATATAAAAAAAAATGTGCACGTTGCTCTTCTAGAACTTATCATGTGGGGAACATGAGAAATGTACACAATTGACAGTAACAGTGTTGAAATATGCTGAGGGTGGTGGTGAAGGTGATGTGATCTGCAGTCAGACCTCAGTTTAAGATCTATGTCAGTAACTAGTTAGGGGCAAACTACTTAATATCATCAAACCTCAGTTTCCTCATATGTAAAAGTAGGATAAAAACAGCATCGACTTCATGTCCTGTTGTGAAGATTAAACATGAGAATCTATGCCAGCGCCTAGCCCAGGACCTGACTCATAGTAAGGATATTGTTCTTAGCTGCTGTTGCAATCACTATTATTCCAAACCAGGAACTATAAGAGGATGGCAGGACCTTAGGTGGTCAGGAAGTTTTTGTGGAGGATTTCTCAATTTCCCAGGCTATGTGCTCCAGTGAAATATGATAGTGGGTTCCTTCCTGTCAAACTTACTGTGGGATTATTTTCTTTTTGTTAGTTTAGTCTTCATATGTCTGTTAGATTCAGCGAATTTGCTTTAGGTTATAATCTTTAAGAGGGCAGGGACAAACTACAAATCTGATGGAGCTGGTTTCTTAGGACTAATGAATGGAAATATTTCTCTGGATAGTAGTTAGGATACTCATAAAGTCAGGACTCCAAGGAGTTATATGGGATGAAGATACAAAAAAAATTGAAGAAGAATATTCACTTTTGTTCATATTCATTCCCTATTGCAAAATCTCAAACAGTTCTCCATTGTTCTATAGAATGAAGCCAACCTCACGACATGGCTTTTGAGGCCCTTTGTGGGCTGATCCTACCTCCCTTCCCCACCTTGTCCCATTGCTCCCTGTCTGCGTGGCTCTGGCATTGATTTCTCCACTCCATGCCTTACACTGCTTTCTCTACTCTGAATTTCCATTACCTTCTCTCACCCTCTTGTCAGCCCCACTAGTCAAATTCCCACCAATCCCTCAAGACTCAACTCAGTGTCATCCAGTGTCTGACTCTCCCATCTGGAAGTTGTCAGTCTTAATGTTTTCATAGCACTATTATTGTTTGTATGTTTATTTGTTTCATTTTTGCCATTTTTGTGAAGACTATTACACTCGTCCTTATATTTCAGCTATTATTTATTTTTCTGTTCTCTGTTTTGAGCTGGCTGTGAGCAAGTGTGATTATGTGTTCCTTGTACTTGCTTGGCACTTTGAAGGTATCTGATGAAGAGTTATTTCATTGAATTAATTGTGCAGTAAGTTGTTAAGGGAGAAGATATAGAAGACTGAAGCACGTTCCTCATCTCTGGTGATGGCGTCAGGGAAGACACCTGTTCTGTTCTTCCGTGCATTGCTAGCTCTCTAATGATGCAGATACACTGGGCTGTGAGCATTTGATCAGGTGGTATTTCTTGGCTTTTAGCAGCTCTCTTGTGTAGAAGGAAACACAGTGCCATGGAGAAGCAGATATTTTATAAATGCTTTATGATTCACTCTTAAAATTCACTTCATAGTGATCTATTGGGTAACTACTTTGTACTTCACCTGCCAGGGACTGTCCTAAGCATTGAGGGTAAAGAGCTAACACAATGAACAAAGATCTCTGCCCTTGTGGAGTTTACATTCTAGGAGATAGGGGTGGAGTAGAAAATAAGAAAAGGAAAGAAGTAAAATATATGGTTTATTAGATGGTGATGAGCGATACACAGAAAAATAAATCAGAAAAAAGGGCAGGGAGTTGCTGGGGGAGGTGGGCTGGTGTCTTAGTCTATTCAGTTTGCTTTAACAAAAATCCCAAAGACTAGATAGCTTATAAACAACAGGAATTTCTTCCTTACAGTTCTAGAGCCTGGAAGTCTCAGATTAGGGTGCCAGCAGGGTTGGGTGAGAGCCCTCTCCAGTCGCTGACTTCCTGTGCTATCCTTACTTGGTGGAAGGGGTGAGGGAGCTCACTGGGGTCTCTTTAATAAGGGCACAGTTTCCATTTGTGTGGGCTCCATCCTCATGACTTAAGCACCTTCCAAAGGCCCTCCACCTGATATACCACATGGGGCATTAGGATTTCAACGTAAGAATTTGCGGGGAGCACAAACATTCACACCAAAACAGGGGAGGAGGAATTGAAATCTTAAATAGGATAGATAGAGCCAAGGCCCTTCTTGGAAGGTAGTGTCTGAGCAAAGATCAGCAGGAGATGAGCTAAAGAACTAGATGTCTCAGGAAGAGGCTCTAGGCAGAGGAAACAACAAGAGCAGAGGGCAGAGGTGGTGTGGCTGGAGTCCTAACCACAGAGCCACACTTACAGTGAGACATTAGCATCTGTGGAGTCGGCAGCCATTCTGCAGACTTGCTGTTCTAGAATATGCAGACTAGAGAAGTCCTCAGTGATCTAGGCAGATTGGCCTTCCCCTTCAGTTCCACGTATGTTTGTTGAACACCTGCTGTGTGTCAGGCGCCATCCTACTACTTAAAGGACACAATAGTGAAACTTAGATCCTACCTCTAAGTAACTCAGAGTCTAGTGAAAATGCCACGTACCTCCGTACTTTACCAGACGGAGTATAAGCAATGTCCCAAGGGGAATGAAACTGTAGAAGTTCAGAGCGGAGGGAGCACGCCCAAGGAAGATCATAGGAAAGGTTGCATGAATGAGGCAGAGCTTCCTGGGGCCTTGAAGCATTGAGTAGAGTTGGAGCAGTGGCTGTGGCCACTCCCAACAGAGGGAGGCTGGAGGGCGAGGACATTGATTCTTCTAAAGCAAGATCTCTAGTGAAATGACTGCAAATAAGCAGGTTTCCGAAAGTTCAGGGTCTTGTCCTCTTCCATGATGAAATGATTTCTTCGTATTTTAATTGTAATCGATAGAAATGTAACATAGGGGAACTCATGAGTGCCACCTATGCCAATGGTATTGGGGAAAAAGAATCAGTGGGTCTTTTCCAGGAAGGCTTTCTTATCATTAGGCCAAAGCGCACACCTTTCAGTGCCCTCACCTCGTGCCTTGTTCTATTTGTAGATCCCATGCTGCAACAGGCCTCTGCTAGTAACTTGCTGAGAACAGTTAATAGTGGGTCAAATATATTTTGCAAAGGGTTTCCGATCCACAGTTGATGTTCAAATATTGGTATTTCTCTGAGTTAAAGACACCTTTCTCAGCCAGCAAAAGCACTTGTATCAGTAGGGAATAATGAACAAGGAGAGTAATCATTTGGACTGTGGGAAAACCAAAGTTAGACAGTGTACATGAGTAGATGGGGAACTTTCCTGGGAAAGCTTTGTCCAGGTCTCAGCTTCCAGTGTTTTTCTGAGTTTTGGGTGAAGGGGCAGATGTTTGGGAACAGAATTACTGTATTCATTTGAACCCCAATTTGCATCTGCCTTGAGGGAGGACCAATCCCAAGGATCCCTCTTGTGCCACGTCCTCTGTCAAGCAGATTCCCTCCCTGTTGGAGAAGGGGGATAGCTCTTTAGGCAGTGCGTCAGGAGGCAGCCTTTAAAAATTGCTGTTCACATTAAATTTAATATTCTTTTTCTCTTGCATTGGGAAACAGCTTAAGCAGAACTAGGAGTCCTTGTTTCTAGGGACGGATAGTGAGTCAATTATTTCATTATACCTGAGAAAGCTAGTGATTCATATCTCCTTGTCCAATTTTCCTTAGATTAAGTGGAATTCTTCTATAGTTGCCTCTAAGCTAAAAGAAAGTAATAACAGTTTGAGTAGACCCTGTCCTAGTTTATTAGGATTTTTCTCCCTCTTTCTCCCCTTTACCCTCTCTTCTTCCATCTGCCACGTCTTCCTTCTTCTTTGTCCTTCCTTGTTCTTTCCCTGCTAACTCTCTCTTCTCCCCCTACCTCCCTCCTTGAGCCCCAGGCCAGTTACATAGGGCATATGTAGTGCTCTTATCCTATTAACTTGTCATGGACCCAGATGGACTGTAGATCCCTAAAATTATATACAACATTTGGGCTCTATCTACATTTGTCAGTTTTCCTGCTGAGAGCATCTATACCTTTTTTTTAGATCCTCAAAAGAGTCTGTGACGCACCCCCCTCCCCAAAAGAGGTTGAGAAACACTGGTCTAAGATTACATAGGAGTCATCTATCTTCAGGACTGAATTTGACTATAGACTTCTCTGAGACACTAGAGCTAAAGAACTTCATGTGGGCTCAGCAACCACAAGTACCAGCCCTTAGAATGTGGGCTTGGCCTTCAAAACCACCAGAAAGACATCCTGCATCCAGCTCATTCATTTCTCTACATGATTAAGGCTGTTAACCATATGCCAGGCAGGGTTTTCTGTTCTACAAAAACAGAG